AAAAAAAAAAAAAAAAAAAAAAAAAAAAAAAAAAAAAAAAATGCTGTTTAAAATTAACAGATTAATTCACAAATATAAAAATATATAAAGATATATATATATATATATATATATATATATATAAAGACGTTTTTAAACCCTTTTCACACTCTTGCAATATTTAAACAATGTTTCTAAACTCTAAATCCTCTAAAAGAGCAGAGAATGTGTTGATTGTAGTTCTCTGCCTCTGTAGCTTTTTCACTTGAGAAGTAATCTGATAAATAAAATCATAATGTTTTTTAATCAGGAAACTGTGCCATGAAGTCATAAAATTGTGCTACAACCAACCCATGGGGGAGGTTGTGTTTGTGGCTTCAACTTCAAGGTTCTGGTCTTTTCACCATTTATGATATATCTTAATGGTTCATGCTCTAATTGTGCCCCCAAAAATATAAATAATAAAAAATATGAAGTTTAGACATAAACCCCACCCCCCCACAACTTTTGTAACTATTTTTTTCCTACTTACGCCATCACCACAATTTGTTTTTCATTATTGTTGGCATACTTTTGTTTTTCTTTGCCTGCAGTATTTGATGCCTACAAGAAGCTCTCTGGCTCTGACATAGAGGACAGCATTAAAAGCGAGACGTCTGGAAACTTAGAGAATTTGATGCTCGCTATTGGTAAGAGTCTCCCTTTGATAACGTGACACCTACTTTACGCCACCACTGCAGTGACAATGAGCCTGTCTCCCTCTGCATGCTTGAATATACTTCAGTAAGAGAAAAGGCTTCAAATCAATGTCAAACCTCACCATAATCAAGGTTTAGTCTCCTGCTTGGGTTTTATTTCTCCACAGTGAAATGTGTCAGGAACGTCCCGGCCTTTTTCGCAGAGAGCCTCTCTAAATCCATGAGGGTAGGTAGTGTTCCTCCACTCAGTGAAAATAACTGTACTGCACTCATTTGATGCAACTAAAAGTTATTGACAACAAACTAAATGGCCAGCGGCTAAAAACACAAAGAAGAAAAATGTTCCTTCCTGTCAGAGTTCTCATTTTACAGACGGATAATTACTCATTTGAAGGTAGAGTCCGTGTTCAGTGTGATTTCAGTGTCTAATAAATACGTCTGCGTTACACTGAAACCTTTAAAGCATGTGAAATATATGTTGTTTTTATCTGCAGAACTTGTTAAAATAACATGTTCAAAGACAAGATTAAGGTTAACAGGTGCTTTTTAAAATTGTTATTATTTATTAGGAATGTTTATACAATTGTTTTTGAACAGAAATAAGTTGTTTGTCATTAAATAATCTGGTGTCAAAGATGGTATACAAAAAATATGAAAACTAAATAAAATTAGCAGTAATACATAATATGACATAATGTTATAATAGAACACCTGGTATGCACTCGGTGAGTACCCAGTACTTGCTAAGTGCTTACCAAGTATGTACCTGGTACACACTGGATACATTCCTGGTACTCAACTAGTACAAACAGGGTACTTACCTTGTAGTACCTGGGACATACCTGATACATACCATTATTTACCATACCATACCATACCATACCATACCATACCATACCATACCATACCATACCATACCATACCATACCATACCATACCATACCATACCATACCATACCAGCTTTATTTATAGAGCACTTTAAACATCCACAGGACCAAAGTGCTGTACAGTACACATAATAAAACAGTCATACAGTCATTCCATCATTTAGGTCAGGTCTGTCTTGTAAATGAGTCCCTGAGGCTCAATGGGATTAACTTGTATAAATAAAGGTTGAATTAATTTACCAAGTACATACTGGCAAGTTTCTGGGTGCAAACTGGTAAGTGCTTTTTGGGTCAGTACCATGTACTTATTTGGTATTAACTTGGTTCTAATAAGTATTAATGAGTACTTCACTGGTACTTACCTGATACAAACTAGGTACTTATCTGGAACATGCTAACTGGTATGTACCTGGTTCTTATAGAATATTTATGAGTACTTCCATAATTGTTCTATGTGCTCAATAAGTAGCAGGTATTTACCAAGTATTTATGAATACCTATTTGGTATGTACCAGGTACTGACCAGACCTTTACAAGTGCTTGACTTAACTGGTTCTTACCAGGTGCATACATGGTACCTATAGGGACTGGGCTGTATTGTAAGCTACTTATTATTCTGCACTTATTGGGTATATATGTACCATATAAATGCAAGGTAAAACGGAGAACAGACCTGGTACAAACCAGGTAATTGCCATGCACTTGACGAGCACTTGACTAGTATTTACCTGGTACTTACCAAGAACATCTTGGGTTCTTACCTGGAATGTACAGGGTACATGTATGGTAACTATAGGGACCAGGCTGTATTATGAAGTTGCTTGTTATCCTGTACTTACTGTTTGCATAACCCAGTTTATCCCTCTGTGCATACATAACTCATAGAGTCTAGATAAAACCTGGAACACACCTAGTGAAACCAGGTAACACATGCTACTTACCTGGTATATACCAGGTACTTACGGTACATACTTGATACTTACGGGATATGTTCTTAGTACTTACCTGGTACATAGTGAGCACTGTTGAACTTTGACCACCATCATATCTTTGCCTCTTTGAATGTCTTAAATTTAAAGTTGTTTTTTTTGTTTTGTTTAGCGAGCTGGAACGGATGACAAAACCCTGACGAGGATCATGGTGTCCAGGAGCGAGGTGGACATGTTGGACATCAGAGCAAACTTCAGGAAGATGTATGGACAACCTCTTTACACCACCATCCAGGTATCAGTCAAGCTGATTCATGTTTTTGGATCTTCACTTATTTTTATCATATTAAAGAGTTTAATCTTTCGTTGTAAAAAGTGACGTCAGTCGTTTAACTCTGATGTTGTTCTCCGTGTTGTCATCCATCCCTCTGCATGACGTTAAACCACACGCTGCACGTGCTGTGTGTGCGCTAATAGTGCAGGGATGGAGTGAGAATTGGTAATTTACTTTAAATGTCTTGTTCAGTGTGATGAGACTGCTTTCCTGCTTCTCACACTATGTGAATTAATCTATTCTCCCAGGGCCAGATGTTCCTACAGAGAAGAATCATTTCCAGCCCCTTGAGGAATTCACCGAAACTGAATAGATAAACAAAGTATAATGGAAATAACATTTGAATACAACTAGTGGTTTTGGTTCATAAAGGGATTACCATAGAAAATGTTAGCCTTTTTATCTGTGCTTTATTATATTAGATTTCAGAAACTTTCATTAGAATAAGAATAGGAATAGATGGTTCTCACAGCTGGCGTATATGAATGAACCCTTTTTTATAACTAAGAATCCTAATTATAGATGTTTTTTTTGTTAAACACTCCGAGCCCCTTCGTTTCACTTCCACTCTCCAAGTTCAGTTTATAATTCTTATTGGGTTTTTATTATAAAAATGAAATGTTTGTCACTCGAGCTTCACCAGAATTTTTTAATATGAGATGAGAACACATTGATCATATTATGACCAGTTTGTAAATAATATGCAGCAAACATAAAAAGCACAACATATGTATTACCTGGCCAGCTAAGTACCAGGTACATACCCGATACATACCAGGTACCTACTGGGAATGTATTAGGTAAGTATAAGGTACATACATACCAGGTACTGGGTAACAAGTCCTTTCATAATAAAAAAACAGTTCCTGAAAGTACCATGTGCATATACTGAAAGACCAGGTATGTACATGGTAAGTTCCAGGTGAGTGGGGAGTGGTGGCGCAGAGGTTAGAGAAGATGGGCCTGTGCTTGGAAAGTCACAGGTTCAACTCCCGGTACCATTAACATCAAAATGTGGGTGAAAAAGGTGAAACCCCCACACCTGCCTCTACCATTATTTGCCCCACTCTGGGCCCCTGAGCAGGGCCCTTAACCCCCATCTGCTCCCAAAAACAGGTCTCTCTTAAAATTAGTTCTCGTGACTCAGTGAGACTACCTGGATAAAGAAAGGGTAAATTAAAAAAAAGAGTGCCAGGTGAGTACTAATACATACTTGATATGTACCAGGTAAGTACCAGGTGCTTATCTGGTACGTGCCCATCAAGTACCCGGTATGTACAAGGTATGTACTGGATATTTACGAGGTACATTTTAGGTTCTTAACTGGTACTTACAAGATCTTTACAAGGTACCTGCAGGGACTGGTCTTTATTTTGAAGTAACTTATGGTAAGTAAATGGTAAATGGACTGTACTTATACAGCACCTTTCTATCAAGATACTCAAAGCGCTTCACAACACAATCTGTGCCTCATTTACCCAAAGACTAATCAGAGCTTTATCACATTCATACACTGATGGGACACACATTAGAGACTATGAGGTGTTCAGTGTCTTGTTCAGGGACACTTCAGCATGCGACTGCTGGTGGAGTCGAACCCCCAACTCTTGCATTTGAGGATGACTGCTCTAACCACTCATCCACAGGCGTGTTAAGTGACCTGTTCTATAAAGTCAAAAGTAGTCAAAATGGTGCTAAAGTAGCAAAACACTAGCTAAAACAGTTAAAGTCTGGCTAAAAGCTTAAACACTAGCAACAAGTAGCAAATGCCTACCTTAAAGCTAAACATAGTTAAAAGAGCTATAAATTAAAAGTAGCAAAAGGTCTACTGATGTTGAAGTGACTGATTATAGTAATTCCAGTAAATATAGGCTTGTTGGCCGTGGGTGTTCAGAGACTCAGGTGTTTAAGTGGTCGTTCGATAATAACAGGGTTTGACGTTTTGTCCCCTCTACATGGCTAAATGTGCTTTGGTGAGATGCTGAACCTCAAGTTCCTCTGCATAGCACACAGCAGAGCCATTATTGTGCATTAATGGGTTTAAAGACAAACAGGTTCCACATTACGTTAAACCAGCCACTAGGGAGCACAAGCCAGTGTATCTCTTGTGCTGGTCCCAAGCCTGGGCAAATGGTGAGGGTTGTGTCAGGAAGGACATCCAACGTAAAACACTTTTGACAAAACTGTAATGCGAATTCCTCTAAGCATAACTATACCAGATCGGTCTGGGCCAGGGTTAACGATGACCACCACCGGTGCCGCTGTTACTGTTAGTCAAAGACCACGAGGAGGGAAACGTGTCAGGAGACAGAGGGAGGAAGAGGAAAGTCAAGAATGTAGGACTGAGGGTTGCAACTCTAAATGTGGGGACAATGATAGGCAAAGGTAGAGAGCTGGCTGGCATGATGCTGAGAAGGAAGGTAGATGTTTTATATGGCCAAGAGACCAAGTGGAAAGGCAGCAAGGCTCGCAGCATTGGAGCAGGGTTCAAACTGTTTTACCATGGTGTGGATAGAAAGAGGAATGGAGTAGGGGTGGTCCTGAAGGAGGAGTTGGCAAAGAATGTAGTAGAGGTGAAAAGAGTGTCAGATAGGGTGATGTGCCTGAAGATCTGATGCCAAACATTGTCAGTGGTTATGCTCCACAGGTTGGATGCGATGTGGAGGAGAAAGGTTCAACATTATTTTATAAATCCCATTCAGATGTGTAACAGAGGTTTCCACGGCTCTGACACGTTTAAATGTCGAGAGCTTTTGCTGAAGCTCTGGGGACGTGTGATCAGCTGATGGGCCAGGATGTCAAACGTTTGTTCCAAAACACTTTGCCAAGAAAGGGCACACGAGCCATTTGAGCTTCTGCGGTTTGCTGGAGGGTGAATTAACATGTGGAGAGGAGGAGCAGAGTCTCTGAGCAGCCACACGTCTCAGTGAGTGTCGCCGTGACATTCACGTGTCCTTTTATACTGAGAAGACTAAAACAGCAAGCAGGGTGTAAGGAATATGAACATGAAAATCCCTTTGAGCGCAGTGATCATAAAGGTTAAACATTTAGTTGTTTTTCCATCTTTTGTTTGTTTTTGTTTTGCAGGAGGACACAGACGGAGACTACCAGAAGGCGCTGCTGTACCTCTGCGGAGGGAAAGATTAATCATGTTTATGACGTGTTCAGCAGCGCTGAGTGATGAGCTGCTGCGAGACAAATCTATACGCCAGAGACGGGAAATATCGACCCACAGTTCTTCTTCTGACTTTAACGTAGAATTGATTAAATTAATGCGATCTTCCTGCATGTCATTTTGACTCATATCTGCCGTGTGAATAAAAAACTAAACTGCAGTACTTTGTCTGTTTTTACTGAGGAGCTGGTGCACATTTGGACGCAGAGAACAAAGTTGTTTGCGACTCTTTCAGTTGACCTTACAAAGTTGGCAGTTGTTTACCTCATATGTGTTAAATCAGCCGGCAGAGCACAACACCGCTGTTAAATTATTAAATCTACGTGTCAACAACACCGCTGCTCTTATTAATTACAAATGAGACGTGGATCCAGAGTAGCGTTTCAAAGCTGGCGTCAGTAATCAATAAGTCAGGAGGATACGAGACGTCGGCTGGCTCGGCTGTTTGTGGAGGGCGCAGGAAGTCTCTGCAGGTCAGCAGGTGGTGATGGCTTCAGTTTGCTGAAAGGGAACCACAGGGTGGCAGCAACCGTCAAAATCATCACCAAATTTCAACACAAAGGTTAAAAGGGTCATTATAAAACTGACAATTTATTTTATTAAATTCGGTCTGTTTCATAAACCAGTTTTCGTTCTGTATTAATTTAAAAAGGTTCGTGTATTCAAAATCTCAATATTTCAATTGGGTTTTGTTTGTTTCATGTATCATTAAATTATATTTAATAGCTACTGATAATAGTTTATTGAGCTTTTATTGTATACTATATATAGCTCATTATAATATCTGTAAGTCCTTACATGTTTTCTCATATGAAATTCATTTCAGTTTAATTCTGTAACGCCAACAGAAACATTCATATATATAAAAAGTCAGTCAATAACTTTATTTATCTGAGGAGCCAACATTAACATGTTTAACACGTTTAATTAACATGTTTAATTAGCAAACTCATCATTTCCACTTGCTAACAAAAGGCAAAGGCAGAAATTATGTTTATGCTCGTGTGTGTGTTTGTTTGTGTCCGTTTATTAACTAAAAGTGTCATGAACCACTGGACAAATTCAAAGTAAACTTACAGAAAGTAATCATCAGATGTATTTAAAAAACTAATTAGTTTTGGAAGTAAACTCAACTGAAGATGGCCACCGCAGCTACTTGACCTTAGCACACACTAAAATGAACGTAACTCAGTGACATCTACAGATGCTGAGCTAAAGTTTGGTGTGGTAGTAGCTGAGAGTCATTCACAACACACACTTCAAGCAATAACAGACCAAAAACATTGCAAAGGGGGTTTAATTTTTGGACCTGAGCATCTTAAGAATCAATCTTTCAGTCTTTCTCCGTCCTTAGATGCATTAATCTGTCCTCCAGCTCTAATGTTAAAAATCTTGGTGTTATTTTTGATCAGGACATGTCTTTTATCCCCCACATTAAAAACGTTACTAGAACCTCCTTCTTCCACCTGCGTAATATCACTAACATTAGAAACATCTGATCTAAAGATGATGCAGAAAAACTGGTCCATGCATTTGTCACATCTAGACTGGACTATTGCAATGGTTTATTATCTGGGTGTCCAAATACTTCTTTAAAACTCTTCAGTTGATCCAAAATGCTGCTGCCAGAGTCTTAACTGGAGTTACTGGGAGAGATCATATCTCTCCAGTTTTAGCTTCTCTCCATTGGCTCCCTGTCAAATCCAGAATAGAATTCAAAATCTTACTTCTAACCTACAAAGCTCTCAACAACCTAGTTCCATCTTATATTACAGATCTTATTGTTCCATATTTTCCTAACAGAGCACTTTGTTCTCAGACTGCAGGTTTACTCATGGTTCCTAGAGTTTCCAAAAGCAGAATGGGAGGAAGATCTTCCAGTTCTCAGGCTCCTCTCTTGTGGAACCAACTTCCAGTTTCTGTCCATGAGGCTGACACATTGTCCAGTTTTCAGACTGGGATTAAGACTTTCCTTTTTGATAATTCCTATAGTTAGGGTTGGTTTGTTATGCTGCTATAGACTTAGACTACTAGAGGACAAACTGACCTCATTTCTTTAAATGAATTGTTAAAATTGTATAGTTTTTATTTGATACTATTTCTATCTTAACATGTGATTCTTGACCTGCCATTGTGTATCTATTCCTCTCAAACCCAGCTGGTCGAAGCAGATGGTCCTCTTGTCCTGATCCTGGTTCTGCTAAAGGTTTCTTCCTCATGAGGGAGTTTTTTCTATCCACTGTCGCCTTCATGCTTGTTCAAGATGAGAGTTCTGTGATGGAGTTAAACTCAAAGCTGCTCCTCAGATAAATAATTTTAAATTATTATTTTATAGATGAATGTTTCTGTTCAGTGTCCTGAGACGACTTCTGTTGTGACTTGGTGCTATAGAAATAAACTGAACTGAATGTTGCAAAAGGTCGCACATCTTGTCATTTACAAAATATGACCAAAACGTTTACACGTTTAGTTTGAATCAACATGTGAGTCAGCAAATGATTTTAGTCTAAATGTCTGATATGAAAGAAAAGTGAATGATATGTATTTACACAAGTAATCGTCTGTATGGTTTTCTTTTACAAGCTTTTTTCTGCCACTTGTTGCTTTCACACCAATCGCCTGCGGCTGTGGTAGTTTATGTTAGCGTGCTTGTTCTGTTCAGCTGCTCTCTGCTGACCTAGATTCACTTTAAATCACTGCAACAGGACTCCGGTGGATTTGATCACAACTGACCCACAGCCAAGTGAAGAGAAATGGATTTCTCTTGTTTTTAATGCAAACTGTTGGGTTGTTAGGTCACACACTTTAGGAAATAAACGTGCTGATGTTGGCAAATTATAAAAACCTGCAGCTTTGATTCTGATCCCACAGAGTCAACGTGCATATAGTAAATATATATAAGTAAATATATATATATATATAAAAGATATAGCATATCCTAAAGTAATCCAATAATATCCTCTAACATGAAGGCAGAAATAATTCCAGTCTTTTATTATAGTTAATTTTAAGATTTGGTGCATTTGACTTAGTTATTTCATTGGTGTAGAGGAAGGAGTCCTCAGATCGTTGAATTTTGATCAGTAATTTCATTCTGAAGGGGCACCACTTGCTTTCCGGTTCTTAAGCAAGAAAAATATGAAATCAGACTCAGGTTTTGTGCTCTAGTGAGTTCTTTTCGTATTAAATTCAAATGTCCTATATAATAAAAAACGCTTTGAGTCAAAGTACAATTTTGTGAAGTTTATTATCGATTTTGCTGAATATAAATGATCAAAATGATGAGTACAGCTGAAGAATGAATAATGGCTTTAATTTGACAACACAAGAAGAGGTTATGGAATTATCTTCTAAACTTTAATATGGTGAATTATGAGGTTCAAAGGCAGAGTAAATTATCATCTATAAAGTTAACTAAAGGAAGTGTTTTGGCTAGATGTGATTTATCAATTTATTAATTCTAATTAATAATGATGAATTTTGTTTAGACTGGACAACTTCTTATCTTGAGCACCAGGCACCAGCAGAGAGAAGGAGCAGCTTTTCCTACCGATTTGAAGTTCTAGTTCAACCGCCCGAGGGTTACCAGGAACTCTCTTGAGATGAGTTAAGCATCGAAGGTGGATATCCCTCGACACTGGATATCAGCTGAAATCTGGAGTCGATAGTTAACTGGTTCCCGATGGGGGTCAGTTGATGGGCTCCTGGAGGGCTGCGTTTTCTCCTTCTGGTGACAAGGAACCTTTTGGTGCTTCCTTGAAACACGAGACAAATCTCTGGAACACTTGTCTCTTTTTTACATGAACGTCTTATCTTCTGGCATAAATTTCCGATTGCTTGACCTTTTTTCTTCAAAAGCTTCCCAAGACTGCTCTAATCTAAACGCCAGAATAACTTTCTCTGACTTAGAGGGCGTTACGATACTGATGGTCGACCCAATCAAAACAGAAAGGGTGGACCTTTGTTTCAGGTTACTGTTTCATTTGAACTTTAATAACATTATTAAAAATAAATGGCTAATTTACTCTGCTTAAATACTCAATATAACAGCAGGATAATTAAAACTTCTAAGCAGTTTTACTCATCCATAAACATTTTCATTAGAACTTGTGCAAACAACAGTTGAAACCTCTGATTACTAGTTTTTTTACATCTACTTTCTCTTATGCATGATTAAACTGAGTACTAAGCTGAGAAAGAAGAAACAAGTTATTTCACAACAGTTTTACAGCAAAACATTCAATTGTGTTCAGGAGAACTCAGAAAATTAAATTGGTCAGAAAAATAACTTCTAATGTGGGATGGCAATGTTGCTTCATACATTCACTACTACCAAGAGTCCTTGAGGAACAATGGGGTGGTTCTTTCTCACACCCTGACTGCAGGACGAATCCTCCCTTTTAGGAAGAGATGCACATAACGCTCAGATGTTATTTTTCAAAGGTCAGATGGAAAGGTTCTCATACAAAGGGCCTTTCAGCTGTGCTGAAATCATAAGAACAGGTGTGCAATTAATTACAATAACAGATTTTTGTTATTTGTGTTTTTGTAACATGGTTTCTTACTGTCCAGCGTTGGGAATGAGAGTCAGTCTTACTTTCAAAGTGTCAAAAGAATAAAAGTTGATGGTAGAAAAACCTTGATGTGTCCCTTCATTGGGTTCAGGACTAGCTCCTTCCAGTGTTATCAATTTATTGAAGCACTGCTGCTAATCTGAGGCATTTGAACTTTTTGCTAGACTCGTGCATTATTTTTGTTATTTAAATGTAAATTTGTGCAGGAAGAAATGTACTAACTGGACCTGATGAGACAAAATGGTTGAACTGTAATCAATTAAACAAGAGAAACATGTACTCTAAAAGTGGAATGGTTCTTCACCACGATCACAATGTAAACAGGTTTTATTTTTACTTTGTAAATTAAAATCTAGTGCAGAGCCGCCAATGCTAGCTGTATGGTTTGAACTGAGTGACCTTGAATCTGTTTTAGTGCAGGTGCAAAGGCAGGACGCAGGCCGATGAGCTTATTTTA